TGGAATTGACGACTTTAGACACTGAGTTCATGCGCACAGAATAAGTGGAGTTTTCTTCGATCGAGTTGGAGGTCTCTTCAAACACTGTATTATCATGCACAGTAAGAGTCGATACAGGTCCGTTATCTGTCAGCTGGCTGCTATTGTTGTAGTAGGCATCGTTTATTTCCTCGTCATGTATACTTTGCAACAGCTTTTTCTTTGATCCTACAAAAAAGACGATTCTGGTTGTGAGTGGGAAGCCCAACGTTCGCATACTTTCAAATACATTTGGAAAATAACATCCTAACCTTTCTGCACGTGAATAACTTGAGGTAAATTCTTAAAAACTTTGGTAAATTACAACTCCTTAGTAGGGTAAGTTAGTCCAATAAAGCTAGAGACGATGGAATTTAAAATGGTCTTTTTGACAGCATCTGGATGGCCGTATAGAAAATAGGTCAAGATCCGCCACCAACACCGTACGGTATTAACACTGATGGATAAAATGGGGGATTTACGAAAGTAGGTTAGAAATTGTTATATATACGCACCTGGGATTGGGTATGGCTGGCTGGTGACGGCTAATTAACCAGAAGCAGTCACTCCGGTCTCCCTTGTCTTTGTCGGTTCCACTTCATATATATTTATTCAAATAGGAACAGGCGTACATCGATCTATTTGCTTCCCGAAATAAACAAGGTCCGTATGGGTGGCCAATTGCATAAGCATGCTACCAACTACCAGGCCGAATTCGGAGCGATTGGTTATGACTAGCTTATGACATTTACTAAGCCAGAAATGGGTAGCATCACATACCAACTTCTTTATGGAAATATTTACCCAAAAATGTAAAAAATACTCCTGTCCTTTTAAGGTAAATACTCACGTATAGAAGCTGGTATGTCATGCTTCTGACGGTGCTCTAACGCATTTACGCGTAATACTGATCTCATTCAATAAAAACCTAAGGCCTTTCCAGCTTCTTCGCGAATTTCCTCTTAATGAGCAGAATTTTATGCGCAACCTCACTCTGACCATTAATGCATATTCTATTTTTCCTCAGTACAAAGCTATCCACCGCTTTGCAATGGAGTTACGTAAGTATTTTGCTTTGTTGCAGCCCCTACCTCTAACATTTCGTTGTTGATCCCTAGCAAACGTTTACTTAAGTGGTCATATAGCAGTAGGTAAATTGTAAATCTGTTACATAAGTCATAGGAAATGGAAGCTATTCATTGAGGCCTTTTGGCATGAGGGCTACAGTGGTTATGCTTAGACAGTTGGCTTTAGTGCATGGTCAGAAGTGATTCAAGGACAAGAGATAGTTTCTTACGTTGGACGTCCACAGTAACTCGTGTCTTGGCGACCCCTGCGGGGTTTGAGGCCCGACACTCGTAGTCGCCAGCATCGCTAGCTGAGACCTCGTCAATCACTAGACGACTCCGTCGCGCGCCCTCCTGAGTCTCGATGGACACTCTGGAATCATTTCTTACTTCCTGCAGAGATCATAAAGGGAGAGTGTTGGTTGTGATAAAATCCATAAGCATGCAGATAGAAAAATATAATAAAGAGGACCCATGTAAACTATTCAAGCGCGGGTGTCCAGCAATTTGGCCGAACGAGGCGCCTGGTAAAGAGAGTATGTGAATACATACCGGCCTGGCCAAGTAAATATGAAACTAGATCGATCTCCAGCTCTATGTTCGCACACCTTGTCGATACGAATCATCGATTCGCTCCTAACGAAGTCTTTCAGGTTGTCTACCTGGCCCCAGCCAACTTCTCCAATGGCGTACGTCCACGGGTGCTAGCAAAAGCCGAGACAGTGGCTAAACAGCTGGCAAATCCAGTGCTGTGTTGTCAGAAAATGGTAATACAGGCACTCTCACTTCCGTAGGGGACGCCGATTCAAGGTGGTGATCGAATGTCACCCCCACCCCCTGGTGACAGTTGTTTACTCCGTGCCAGTGCCAGCAATTTTCACCCCGCGTACTGGGTCTATGACCAGTACTCACAACGTATCCTAATTTCGTACCTACCCCAGTGCGCTGACATCTACATGTCGATCTAGATATGCAGGCGGTGTGAAAAAGATGCATTTTAATCATATAACATTTAGTAAACCTGTCCAACTTTACTATTTTCATTATCCATGCAATGGTACAGGCCCGATGATTAATTGCCGAAAACATATATTTACCAAATAGGCCTTTCAAGTTAAGCATGGGCATATTTGCAGAATGTTGAATGAGGAACTAGAAGAAACGTCTGGCTCAATAAAAATTTGGGGTCTCCTGGTCTAACACAGCAACCAAGAGCGAGTGCGGCTTATCGAAATGAACCACTGGTGAAGGCTAAGTTTCTGGGCAGAAAAAACCTAACTGGATAGCTGAAGATCCGTTTATAGCAGAGAGTGTGGCAATAATCAAAATATTGAACATAAAATGCAAGTTTAATGGTTAATTTTTTCAATAAAAATGCAAATAAGCGTGCACTTTTGCAGGGCAATATGTGACAAATTTTATGAAGATATCGGAGATCATTTGCGCTTTTCGCCCAAATCTTCCTGAAAACTCTATAAAGAATGACGTTGTCTCCGACGACCAAGATAAGTGGACAGAGTTACTATGCACCATTATTTATTTAAAAGATCTAGATAATAAGTAGAAAGGTACATCGAATTATAAATAAAGTCAATTCCACAGTGAATATTGTAACGACACTGACAATGCCAATGGTGGAAAGGGAATAAAATAGAGAAAAGTGTCTATTTGCTAGGATAGCAATGGAATGCGTGCCGGTACTTGCATAAACAAGTCTTTGGCCCCCAGCCGGGCTGCATTGCAACGTTAGATCTGAGCAGAGTCATATAGAACCGTGACACGCGTTAAATGTAGTCCGTTTTGCATAAATCACCGTGCAGCAGACTGCCCTCCAAGATCACTGATTCAGACGTGTCGCGGGTAGATAGCGGGAAATTGATTGGCTGCAGGCGACCGAGGATCCACGCCCTGTGAGCAAAACTCAACGACGGACAAAGGCACAACACACGCATTGTCAGCTTGTTAACTGAGCGGAAGCTCGTAAATCCAAACACATTTCTGTCAGTGGCCTGCTCGTTACCTGAAATGTTCGTGGATAGGGCTCTTCGTCGCCCGAGGCTCCACTGTACGTCATAAACATTGAACATTTCACATCCTTAAGACACAATCGAGATCCTACATTAGAAGGTTATCAACTGAGGGGATAACTTTGTTCTCCCCAGACCACAATGGTTCCTTTTTAACTTACGTTTTGTGGCAACCTCTATGGACGACACACCTGAGACCTCCCTTACAGTCCATCTGGAGCGCAAGTAAAAGTCAGCAGGTGTTCGAAAAAATTCAGCAAACTCCAATCCAAGCAGTCCTACTCTTGTCTCACTACTAGAACATCGGAAAGGTGAGTAAGTTAGATGCAGCTTAGGTCTTGCTCTTTGCGCGCAAGTCGACATTCCGTCTTCGGGGTGGTAGTGCCCCTCTCATCTGATAAAAATAAACTATGGGACCAGAGTGTTTCTTCCTTTTGTTTGTCAGCTAAAACAGTGCTCCTGGCATGTGTATCAGCGAGGTTTAACGACAAAAACAGTGGTGAGAGTCCCGCTCCCTGAATTATGGATGCATATTGGTGCGAGGGAGTGACATCGCGCCCGCTATACACTTATCATTTAAGCGCGGGAAAATGTAAGGTGATTGAAGGATTTATGGTCAGCAGTCCTCTGCGTGTG